CTGTACAGGGTTTCCAAGGCTGTAAATCTTTACAGGAACAGAAAGCCTCATCTTTCTCCCATGGAACAGCTGTTTAGTTTCAAACTGCTGGCCGTAAGATTAGCAGCCCAATTTGTAACCACTACGCTACCAGAGTTCCTTTAGAGTCTATATAAAAGAAAGGACTCAAGTAGAGAATGGGAGGTCAGGGGCACTGGGGGTGGGAACGAGAGGCAGTCCTTGAGTTGTGTAATCCTAAGGGGAAGCCAGAAGGGCTCTGTGGGGAAGTCCTCTATGGTATCCATACCAATCAAGTCAGTTCCAATGACTGGCTATCCCCATTAATTTGGTTCTCACCACTACTGCTGGTCATTACTTCCTGCTTTTTCTTGTCCTTTTGCATAAGGTTATGGAATCTCTTATTCCCATGGATTTAACATAGTGAGCATACTTTTTTTTTTTTCATCAGTGGATCTGGAATTCTTACATCAAAGATGAACTGTGTCTTAACATACTTACACATAGGAATGTAGAAAAACATTAATATTTTCGGAGAGCATTTATTATTTGGGGGAGTGAAGTATTTGTATTTTAATAAAAGAGCCCAAAAAATCCTTAATGGCACAATGGGTTAAGGATTGGACCCCAAAGGAAGAAAAATGTAGACAGTCTGCTTCGGTGCCTGAGAGGCCTGAGCAATTCTGGTCTGTCCTGTGAGGTTCTGGCTGTGGGATTGGCTCAGTGGCAGTGGATAGTTCCCGAGCACCTCTCATTAGCTTCAAAGGCTTCGTTTGCTTCCCAAGTTACCTAAAATAAATCCATGCTCTTCACTTTGATTTATAAAACTCCTAAGTGATCTGGCCCCTGCCCACCTCTAGGACCTCCTCTGCTCCCCCTTTTACTTCACCCGCTACACTTACAGGTTCACAATTATGTTTCCATTGTCCAGATACAACAGTCTCATTCCCGAGTTAGAGCTTTTGTACTAGCTGTTTCTCTGCCTAATGCCTGTGGTTCTGATTCTCCCCAATCATTCCATGCCTGGTTTTTTCTTGTTAGACAAAATGACCTTCCCCATTGAGGGTTTCCCCAGGAGTTAAATTTAAGTCACCACCAGTGACTCTCATTCCCATCACTCTGTTTTAATTATCTGCATACCATTCATCACTGTGTGATATTTTTCATATGTGTGTGTGTGTGGTCGGTTTTGTCTGTTATCTGTCTTCCACTCTGTGAATAAGGAATTTTGTCTTGCTCACTTCTGAATTGCTTGATCCTAGGACAAGAAGCCCTAGTACATAATGGTCACCTATTGGACTGCTAACTGCAAGGACAGCAATTTGAATCCACCAGCCATTCCAAGCAGATGAGGCTTTCTGCTCCAGTAAAGATTTACAGCCTTGGAAACCCTGTATGCATGGTCACTATGAGTCGGAACTGACTTTTTGGCACACCACCACCAGGACAAAGTGTAGCATATAATGGTGGTGGTCGTGGTGATAGTCATGCACCTTGAAGTTGGTTCTGACAGTGACCCTGTATAGGGTTTCAGAGGCTGTAAGTCTTTATAGGAGCAGAAAGCCTCACCTTTTGCCCATGGAGCGAGCAGCTGGTAGATTCCACCTGCTGGCTTTGAGGTTAGCAGCTCACTCCATAACTCACTGCACTACCAGAGCTCCTTCTGGTATATATTGTTGTTGTTGTTGTTATGTGCCATAGAGTTGATTCCGACTCATAGAGACCCTGTACAGGGTTTCTTAGGCTGTAAATCTTTACGGAAGCAGAAAGCCTCATCTCTCTCCCACAGAACAGCTGGTAGTTTTAAACGGCATATAATAGGCTCTTAAATAAATTAAAGAAAAAATGCATACATGCCATGTGCCCAACATTTGGGAAGGCCGCCTTGGATTTGTATTCTGCTCTGCTTGCTCTATAGCTTTCTCCCATACATGAGCTAGTTTCTTGAAAGTTATCTGTGTTATATTCTTCGGCATCCTCTTTCTATAAACTCATTACTCTCCAGTTTGTGCTTCTACCTGTCAAATTCAACTGCGCATGACAATTTTCCTTCTGATTTTGGAGTCCAGTAGAATTTTTGTAGTCTTGATCTTATTTGACCCCTCAGTAAATTTTGATGGCTAATAACTTTAAATGTTATCTCTTCTGCCTTTATTTCATGACACTGTTAGTCTTGGTTTTACTTCTCCCTCATATGCTCATATTTGCAATTTTATATCACTTCTTCAGATAATATAGTTATCTCTTCAGGTGGAAAAATCATTTCTGCCTCACAATTTCATGTCTTCCCCATGCTCCACTACCTGAACAAATTTGTAAACCACAGCAGTGACTGATGCAGGCTTATGTGTATGCAACCTGTTTAAAACTGTGTTTAATGATACTTAGTTTGTCTTAATTATGAGCCTCCTCTTTTAGTGAAGTGCATAAAATATAGTTGTGTTTGTTATTAAATTCCCATTGATAATAGGTGAAGTCATCAAATCCATTGCATGTAGCATTTATGCTCATTTCTACTGGAAAAGATCTTTCAAGTTACTATTTTCCTCCCATTTTCCATTTTAGGAAATAGGAGCTGAGACTTATTATTAAGAAGAAGTGAATTTAAAATTTTGAAGTTGTTTTACAATCTTTAGATTATTTTTTTATGTCAACAAAATAAAAACAAGCCACCTACTTGCCATGTTAAACAACAACAGCAAAATTGGTGGACAGACCAGCACTGTATGTTATAGGACCCCAAAGAAGAACTTAAGCACCATATTTTTATGCTAATAATGCATGTTATACATTTTTGCCAACTGCTCCCTCCCCCAAAGTATTTGCGTCATAAGCTTGCTATGCTAGGGTTTTTTTTTTTTTAATAGCAACATGTTTAATTTTGATAATGTACTTATGGAAATACCTTGGGAGAGGGTATGGTTGGCAAAAACAACAACAACAACTTAAGCCTCACATTATTGAATAAAAGTAAGGTAAACTTACCCATATTTATTTCCATCCTTATCTCTTTCCTACCAGTCCTCCAAACAAAGAAAACAGAATTAGGAATTCGGCTTCCTTAGAGATCTGGCTCTATTCATCATCTTCATTCTCACCTGTGTTCAAATTCTCCCTCTCTACTAGAACTGCCCTACGTGGTCTCTCATTCTGGAAACACACTCCATCAACCCCCTCCTAGGTTGTTGTTGTCAAGTGCCATCAAGTCACTTCCAATCCATGATGACCCTGTATAGGGTTTCCAAGGAGCAGCTGGTGAGCTTGAACCGCCAACCTTGTGGTTCACGCCAATTTTGCTGTCCAGTGCATTAACCCACAGCACTGTACCAGGACTCCCTCCTAGTTTTTCTGCCCCTTTTCATCTATGCTTCTAAAAATAATCTATTTATAGCTTTTAACATTTTTATTGTAAATTATAATATACATACTGAGAAGTATATAAAGAATGTGTGTCTAGTTTAACAAATTATTCACATAAAATCCACCCAAGTAACCAATACCAGGTTCAAGGAAAAAGAAAATTGCAGTCACCTCAAAACCCCCTGTGTCTCACTTTCCCACTGGAAGTAACCATCCCGCAGTTGGTATCCCAGCAGCTTTTGTGGATAATCATTTCGTTGACATCTCTTCACTCTTCAACCTAATGCCTTCTGTTTTTTTTATAGTACCAGTGATTTCAAAATTCTCTAAATAAGGTTATCTGTGAACAATTGGCACATCTAATGGATGTTTCTCAGTCCTGGTTTCACTGCTGTACATGACAATGTAGATCAGTTCATTTCCCTTGAAACTACTCTCTTGGAGTCTGTAACTGTATTCTCGAGCATCTTTGACATTTCCTCTCTCTGTGTTCGCTTCTTAAATGCTGCTGGGCCCACGCTCCACCCCACGCCACCCTTAACATTGGCTCCTGTTAGGCAGTGTTCTTCAGAGCAGGTATATTCCCAAAAGTCGCACCTTACATAGATTACCTACTGGATCTCTCCACCAAGATACTCACGATCCAAGACAGACTTCACCATCTTTCCTCCTCCTGCCTTTTCTAACACTTTGTTGGCACCATTACCCACCCATTGACCCAAGTTAGAAACCTGGAAAGCATCCTGGTTCCTCCTTACCCTCATTCCCACATCTTTCTAATGACCCTGTGAGACTCATTTGGTTTCCTGATGTATTTTTGAAACCAATTCTCTTATGTTAATCTTAGTTTAAGCCCTCATCTGGAGCTTCTTAATGACTTCGTTGGTCTTTCTCCCTCGTGGCTTCTAACCTTCTCCTACTACTCATATTTACCTTCCTTATAGCTACAAGCCAAAATATTTTTCAAAAGTACAGTTTCAGCTACTCGGCTTCTGCACTTAAAACCAAATGAATCCCAAGCTCCTTGATGTGACTTAACAGTCCCTCCATTCTTTTGCCCTGGTTTCTCCAGCTGTATCTCTCACTGCACCAGCTGTTTTATACTTGTCAGCCTGTATGCTCTCTTAGCTTCATGCATTGTCCCCACTGCCTTGGCTGCTCCATTTGACTTACACCTAATTCTTTGAGAGTAATTTTACATTTTACGCCTCCAGGGAAGCCTTCCTTGACCATCCCCCAACTGCATCCCATAGTGGATCCCTCTTAGCACTCCATTAATACGTGGTACATACTTGTACCACTGTGTTGACAGTGTTCCTAATTATCTATTATGTCTGTCATGTTCTCCAAGCCTATTTATTCTTCTCTGTCTGAGGTACCTAATACAGTATTGGGCACAAGGCCAGATGGAGAGAGGAAGGAAGAAGGATAAGAAAAGCATACATTGACTTTGTGTTCCAAAACATTGTTATGCTACGTGCATTAAACTCAGAATCCTCTGAATATGCGCTCTCCTCTCTAACCTCTAAAATGCACTATTTCTAAGGAATTCCTTACCTAAAAAGAGCTATTTTGGAAATAATGTAGTTTTACTTTTCGTCTAACACTTCATAAACTCAAACTCAAAAATGTTCACATTGCAGATCACACCAGGACCACCTAAAAAGCCGAAGACCCCGTCCAAACAGTCAGCCTTAGTATATTGCTACAACTGCGCACAGAAAGGCCACTATGGACACGTAAGTTTGATGGTCATTTGAGCATAAAGTGTTTCATGGTTCAGGAGCTATTGCTGAAAGCTGCGCTTGAAAAGAATGTAGCTCTGAATGCTTACTGTTTTATAAACGAGCACTCTCTCTGAGGTAAGACATAGTGTACTTCTCCCACCACTGCCTGATTAGTGTTCTGTCAGAACACATTTCTTCTCATTTTCAATGTTAATAAACAGGTTAGGCTGGCACAAAGACATCTCATGATAGATAGTGATCAACAAAATGGAAGTAGTTCTCACAAGTATTTGTAACTCTTATTTTGCCACAACCCAATTGTGATTTTAGATTTTCTACATAGTTCTCCAATACGCCCAGTTTTTTCTGCTACTGTGTTGAATTCAGTCTTCATCACTCACTTGTGAAAATACTAGTGCATCATCAACTTGCCCTGCCCACCGCAAAGCCAGATTTCCCTATCCATTGGCATACTCCCTAACCCCAGCTGGAAAAGTCAGACTGAGTGTGTTCTAGATGGTGTGGTGTCAAAGCACAAAAAACTTCATGCTATGAGGTGAGGGTGAGTTCCCTAGCCAGTTGCCACATTCGGTGTGAAACACCAGGGCCTCATTCAGGCACAGTGCAGCAGGAATAGGCTACAAAGTATATATCCTGAGACTCTGCAAGCAGCGGAGGAAAGGCAGAGGCACAAAAGATAGAAAAAGATCCAAACTTTTGGGGCCCCAAAAGGCAGCCTTGTCTGGAACTCATCCCATTAATGGGAGAAGTCAAGGAAATCCTGTGGAAATCCGATGGGCTTCTAACAGCCTAGACACCAGGGTAACCAAATATGACAGGAGGTGGAAGGTATTCAGAGGCTTGGGAGTTCTGGAAATCAGTAGTAGTTGTTGTTAAGTGCTGTCAAGTCTGTTCTGACTCATAGCAAGCCTATAGAGGCATTCCAAGGAGCAACTGGTGGGCTGGAACCACTGATCTTATGATTAACAGTCCAGTGCTTATCCTACAGCACCACACCAGGGCTCTGGAAATAGGTAGAGGTAAAAACAATAAATGGGGTAGTAAGTATCTCAGGTCAGTCAGTCCATTCTGACTATGTTACAGACCCTGGGATTGGAGCACTAGTGTACTGGTGGTGGTGGTGTGCCATGGAGTTGGTTCTGACTCATATGACCCTGTATAGTGTTTCTAAGGCTGCAAGTTTTTACGGGAGCGGAAGGTCTCTTCTGTCTCCCGTGGAGCAGCTGGTGGAATTGAACTGATGACCTTGCAGTTAGCAGTCCAGTGCTTATCATACAGCACCACACCAGAAGTGTAAGGAAAGACAGAAAGGCTTAGGAAAGGGTCCTATAGCAAGCAAGCCCTTGATAGACTCCATCCACAGGTCAAGTTTATCTTCCAGATTTGTGCAACTAGATCGCAGGAGTTCAGAGGGAGAGAGGTTTGAAAGCTAGAGTAAGGATCTGATCCTCACTTCTAATCTTTGCTCTGCTACTGACTTAATCATGTGATTTGAACAACCCACTTTATCTCTGGTCCTCAGTTTCTTTATCTCCAAAGCAGAGCTGGACAGGGTGACCTCTACTACCTCACTGTCTTAGCACTGGCATACGGATGCTGTATCCAGTGGGATCAAGTCCATCCCATGGTGGCACAGTTGGAGGGATCCTAGAATATACTTGTTTTACTTCTACAGAGCTCACATTGAAAATTTAATTAGAAACTATTTCTTTTACTAATTGTCATCTTTAGATCATCTACTGCTCTGTGTATTCCTCCTCTCTGCCAACATTTAGACGGTATGGTGATCACATGCCTTTTAGGGAGCATATTCAGATAAACAAGGAGTCCTGGTAGTGCAGTGGGTTAAGCATTGGGCTGTTAACCGAAAGTTTGGGGGGTTAAAACTCACCAGACGCTGTGTGGGAGGATGATGCAATATGCTTCCATAAATCTTTACAGCCTCGCAAATCCTGTGGAGCAGCTCTACCCTGTCCTGTTGGGTCACTGTGAACTGGAATCAACTAGAAAGAAATGAGGGCTTTTTGCCTTATTTTCAAAATGTGTATTCACTTTAGTAGTCCATTGACAAATTGCATAAATGTACAGTTTTTTATTTGCTTACCTCTTTAAAACAAAGGTATATAATTTTAGCACTTTGTTCAATTAAAGAAAAACAATTCTAGGTGGACACATGCTGCTTATAGTTGTGTCCTGTTAATGTTCATAGGAGATTTTTTTTTTTAATTTGGAATTTTCCCCCTGAAATCTAGATTTAGATCAGTTTGACTGTACAATTAAGCAAATTTCGCAGCTTCAGCACCGCTATAGATGAAGAACTTTAGACTGGCCACACTAATAAAGAAGGTCAGTGGTGTGGCTAATCCAGAATAGTAGATAAACTATATAGCCAACTATCAATTGTCTGTGCTGATGGAGGGGACCAATGATGTGAATAATCAAAATATAATTTACATTTAGCTTTAGAAAACGTGTCTAGTACTACTGTGTAGCTTTGTCTAGGAACATCATTCTACACCATACAGGAATCAGAATTCTTAGGTGGTCAAAGATATCTGAGAACTCTTCCCTTTCAGTTTTACAAATTCAGCTCTACAGATGTTATCATTGAATAGCTTTGTCATGTGAAAGATACTCTACGAATGAATGAACGTGACACAGTTTGTAGCCTTTCCCTAATTCCATTCACTGTCTAACTGGGGAGGCAGAGACCATCACGAGCAGCTCCATTAAAGCAGACAGTGTCAGGAAGTGGTGGTTGGAGAGAGGGTTGAAAGGATGGATGTGTAGGGAGCTGAGGAGGGTTCAAACATCTTGTACCTATTGGATATATGTATAAAGATCTCTAGGACCTTTTTGTAATCATAGTTAGAATCCACATCTGTCATTGGGCTCCTCTTTTCCTAAAAACTTGGGCTACCAGAGATAGCAGTTTATAATAACAGTTCTTTATGTTACCATATAGTTTTGCTATCCAGGATCCAAAAAAGCCCAAAGAGATCCAGAATGTCACAACAGAGTAACTTAAAGATAGTTGTCATTGTTGTATGTGCCATCGAGTTGGTTCTAACTTACAGCTGCCCTGTATAGGGTTTCTGAGGCTGTAATTCTTTGCGAAAGCAGAAAGCCTCATCTTTCCTGCAGGGCAGCTGGTGGACTCAAACCACTGACCTTGTGCTTCCCAGTCCAGCACAAAGAAAGAAATAAAGAGCAAAATTACTGAAATATAAAACAAAATTAATAGGATCAACAAAACCAAAAGTTGGTTCTTTGAAAATACTTTTCTTTCAAAAGAAATAAAATAGACTTCTGAAAAATGACTTAAGAAACAGGAAAGGCACAAATAAACAGTGAGTGAAAACCAGTGTCCTTTTTAATTGTAAGAGAAGACTTCATAAACTTCATGAAACTATAAAGTTCACCGTGAAATCTGAAAATGTAGATAAAATAACAAAGGTTCTGGAAAAATATAAATTAATCACACTGACTCAAGAAGAATAAATCTGCATGAAATAATGACCATGAAAGAAATTGAATCAGTAATCCACCCGAGCACCACCCCCATTTGAATCTGTCAGACACCCATGTATTTTATAGGCAAGTTTTACCAAACCTTTATTTAGAAACAAGTAACCTAAGGAAATGCTAGCGAATTTATTTTGTGATGCTATTATAATCTGAAGCAATGTCAAGTCTGAAAACTGCAAATTTATGCTGTTATTTATTGGAATATGCACTAGATGTTGTTGTTGTTGCTTAGCGCTGTCGAGTCGATTCTGACTAATAGCGATGCTATGCAGGGTTTTCAAGAAGCAGCTGGTGGATTTCAACCTTCGACTTTGTGGTTCGCAGCCCGGTGCTGATCCTACACTGCCACACCAGAAGTCAGTTTACTAGTTGTAGGAGTTTGAATACATGTAAGAATAACTGCCACCAATTTTGAGACTATGTGTGGGACAACTTATGCAAGGGAAGGAAATGAATGGGACATGACAAGGAGAATTACATAGAAGCTTTCAGTTGTATCAGTAAGGGTTTTCATTCTGGAGGAAAAAAGCTAAAGTAAATTAAGGTAAAATGTTATGGTTTGATAAAGCTGAATGGTGAGTAGAGCTTTTCATTACTTTATTTTCTATACTTCAGTGTCTACTTGGAATCATATATAATTTCCTTAACTCTATAAGTCTAATAATTTACTGTTCATAAGTATAGAGTTGCTAGCTTGGTCAGAAATCTTAGAAATGTCAGTCAGTCCAGTATATAATGCCAGAGTTATATGAGGAATCAGCTCAATTCTTTGTGGGTATGTCACATGCTTCCTTCCAAAGACACATTCTCATTTTTCTTCAATGCCTAGCTGAGAAATATGGAATATTTATAAATGTTAAGCAAGAAGATAGAAATAGGAATGCTCTAAAGGGAAGTGTCCCTCAAAGAAAAGACGGTGTTTGGTTTCAGATACACTGATATCCAAATGGATTGTGTTCCAGATTATGGTAAACAAAAGGCTGCTCTGTGAAGAGCTGTTCAGGGCCCAACATGTGGATTTGGGGACTAACAGCCATGGGAAGGCCAGAGTCTTGAGAGTGGAGTGTTGTCCTAAGGAATGAGTGAGAATAGTGATTGAAAACTGGGAAAGGGAGCAAAGAGAAGAGGGATCTTTTGGGACCTGTCAAAATCTACTAGGACCATTTTAAAGCTAGGCATAACCCACTTTCCACCATTAAACTCACTCTCACTGAGCAGTATGTGCTGAGTTAAAATGAGCTGCTAAATCACTATGGAGAGGGAAAAGAGCAAGAACTTGAGGATCTACACCCATGCTTAGGGGATGAGAAGAAGAAAAGGAGAAAGTACTTGTTGGAAGGCTGTTAGAGAAGAAAGACAAGCAAAGGACTAATACTAACACAAAGCCGAATAAAATGTACCCTATTTGAGCCCTGGTGTGGTGCTGTAGGATAAGCACTAGACTTCAAGGTCAATTTGAACCACAAGGTGGTAGTTCAAACCCTCCAGCCGCTCCTCAGAGACACTATACAGGGTCGCTATGAGTCGGAACCAACTTGATGGCACTTAACGACAACAATGAAGCTATGCTGCAAGTATTGTTGGGACCCGCCCCTGAAAGCTGGTAATAGTTAAAGAAGTAAGGGAAGAAAATCTCAGCCTGAAAGAATAACGTATAATGTGGATGGATGTGCGGGGGTTGGGAGTGGGGGGCGAGGGGCAGAGCCCTCCTCCCAGCTTCCCAGCAAGGTCCACAACCTGCATGCCAGTGTAAGGTATCAGTGGTCTGGATTCATCTCATCTGTAAGTAAAATCCAGAATCTTGCAAAAAGGTTGAACAGTATAACATCTTGAACATCATAATTTCAAATACAATTTGCAGGAATGTACAGAAAGACGAATGTTTAATCAAACATTTCCAACATCTCCGTTCATCAACTACTATGATGACAAATACGAAATTCAGGCGAGAGAACAGAGAATAAAACGAAAAGCAAAAGGTATGTTATTAGACTTCTTGTTAAAGTATACAATACAGGTTTCCCCCACTGTCTGAAAGTAGAGTGTTCCTGTGAAAACTTTTATAAGTTGAAATGGTGTAAAGCAAAGAAGCAATTACCATTAATTTGTGTGGGGACATTTTTAGAGCGTTCCCAGACCCCCAAAACAGCCTGCCAGATCATGCCAAATAACAAAACCTAAAAAAAAATGACAGTAGTATCAGAAATGATTTGATAAATTCATAGTCTATATAAAGTTTTCTGTTGTTATGTGCCGTAGAGTCGGTTCCGACTCATAGCAACCCTGTACAGGGTGTCCGCAGCTGTAAATCTTTATGGGAGCAGAAAGCCTCATCTTTCTCCCGCGGAACAGCTGGTAGTTTCGAACTGCTGACCGTGAGATTAGCAGCCCAATTCATAACCACTACGCTATATAATAAAGTTGTTGTTGTTGTTGTTAAGTGCTGTTGAGTCGATTCAGACCCATAGCGACCCTCTATAGGGTTTCCGAGGAGCAGCTGGTGAGCTTGAACCGCTGACTTTGCAGTTCAAACTGCTGTGCAGTCTGGCGCATTAATCCATAGCGCCAAGACCCCATATATATACAGTGTAATTCCCAGCGAAAGCGCTTGGTGGCGCCACTTTTGCTACTAGGGTGCGTGCTGTGCCTCTAACAGCTCGATGGAAAACGAAACAAACACTCAGCGCTAGTTTCACCTTTTGCCTTTTTCCCATAAGAAATCCTCTTCGGATTTCTTTCAGTTAGCTAAAATATGTACTAATGTAGGTTTTTCAGAAAAGTGAACATTCCTAAAGCGGGGGAAATAACTGTAGTTCTTAAATTTCCTTGTTCGCATTGGCTTTGCCTGTTCGGGAGTCATGAGTTGGCATGAAAAATGTTTTCAATAATTATCAGGAAACTGGAACTTTTCTTATTTATATTCAGAAGTCAAGCAACCATTTCATACAGCCTGTGTCTTAATCTACTAACAATGAAGTTTTCTCACATAATACGCACTCTAGATTGAAAATGCCCCCTAAAACGCTGTTGTTAACCGTATTTGTTCATATGCAGAGTTTTTAAAGGCCTCTTTGTGGTTTTTCTTTTTAACAGACTACTGTTATAAACAGAACTCCAAGTCCACTGTTACCTTCTGTGGCTTGTTTATTTACGGTGGTGCGGCGCTGTAGGATCAGCACTGGACTTCAAACCAGAAGTTTGACAGTTCAAACCCACCAACCGTGTCTCAGAAACCCTTTACAGGGTCTCCGTGAGTAAGAATCAGTTCAGTGGTGCTTAACCACAACAATAACATAAATTTTAGAGTCCTGTGCAATACTGTAGGATAAGCATTGGACTGCTAACCCCAAGATCAGCAGTTAAAACCACCAGTCGCTCCTCAGAAGTCCTATACAGGGTCTCTATGAGTCGGCACTGACTTAACAACATGAATTTATTTCTCACAAAATGTTAGCATTTAAGTCCATTTTCAGGACCTTCTTTCTCTCCATAAACTTCAAAATGGTTTTCCAAGTTGCCCGTCTTGCTTTCAGGACAGAGTCTTTCAGTTCTCCTAATTATTTTCTGACTCTTCCTGTTTTTGTTATTTTCTGGACTCTGTCTGAGTTTGGGTTTTTTTCAAAATGAAGGTGCTAATTCTTTATAAATTAGAAGAACAATTTCTTAACTCCTACATATTTTACATATATTTTGATATAAAATGCATCTCAACCATATAGAGAGAAATTATGATATGTAAAAATAATGATTATTGTTATTGTTTTGTGCCGTGGAGTCGGTTCTGACTCATAGCGACCCTGTACAGGGTTTCTGAGGCTGTAAATCTTTACGGGAGCAGAAAGCCTCATCTTTCTCCCACGGAGCAGCTGGTAGTTTCAAACTGCTGACTCTGAGGTTAGCAGCCCGATTCGTAACCACTATGCTACCAGAGCGCCTTAAAAATAATATTAGGAAACTAAATTAGAAAAAGGTTTATTTATTCATTTTTTTAAATTCTTTTTCTGTATTTGTCAAGCTTTCTATACTGAGTGTAACTTTTATGAACAGAGGAAAACAGCTTGTTTCCTTTTTTAACTCATTATATGAACATAGAAGTTACAGACAGTCATTGTATGAACAACTCTGTAGTACATATACACTGTGAGGTGCACTAGGACCCAGTTAAGCTTTTTTATACTAAGACTATAAGTATCCTGGTTGGTAAAGTGAAGGGTCAGCAAAAAAGAGGAAGACCCCCAATGAGATGGAATGACACAGTGGTAACAATAGTGTTGTCAGCTGTAGCAATGATTGTGAGGTTGGCACAGGACCAGGCAGTATTTCATTCTGTCCCTATGAGTCAGTACCAACTCTACAGCACCTAACAACATAAGTATTTAGTATTTATTTTCACTTTCTATATTAGTATTCATTTGTTACCCCCTAAAGATACTACTTTGCACTTTGTCCAACTTCTCATTGGTTATGCCTTTAATCGTTCAAGGTTATGTTGCCGTGATCATTTTTGTCCTTCACTGTAACCTCATCTCTCACTACCCCTATCGAATCATAACCATCAGGTAAATACAAGCAAATGAGCTTGCTTCTAGCAAATGAGATAAGTCCTGATAAAATAGAACATCTATCCTGCCTTAGATCCTAAAATCCCTAAGATATGGTTGCCTGCACACACATGCCTTCGCCAAACCAGTGATCTCTACTCTGGAGAAATAATCTCCTGACCAGTTAGGCATCATGTATAAGTGCCATGGTACAGACTTTATCTTCAAAGGGTAATGGAGGTGTCATATGAGACTGTCAGTAGCCTCACCGATGGCCCTTTTATACATCTTGCTTTACCTTATCTTCAGGGGCTGTTCCTTTATCACTAAGAGAACTCAAGTTGGTTGGACATGACTTTTTTTCACAAAGCTGATTACTGCTCTCACTAGTCCTCAAGTCCTCGTTTCCATTGTTTAACCTGGTTAAACTGTATGAATAGAAAAACTAACTAGCAATGCGTGTCTGGGTGTTTCCCATTTATAGTAATCAGGAACATTGAATGACAACCATTCAACATTTGAGTGGGTGATGTTTACCTTAGTAAGTGCTCTTGTGAATGTTATATTATCACAGTATTAATGTCTGACCGGCTTATGAAAGCACTGCATGGGTTGGCCAACTGCTGAATATGCAAAAACTACTTTATATTTTCCAGAACTCCAGAAAAATAGAGGTTTCCCAAGGCAGTACAAGAGACCTCACATGGAAGCCGCAGATAAGAAATCTCACCACGCTACGAAAAAGAGCCCTGGCTCGTGGAGAAACAGCAGCTGTCCACAAGAAAAGAAAGAAACCCGAAAAGAGATGAGGTGCAGTCGAGATCGCAAGAAGCCCAGGAAGGCCGATAGGTTTCGTGAAGTGGACGAGGATTTCCCCAGGGGCCCAAAGCTCCCCCAGAAGCCTCACGGGTCTACTTTTCACCACTCATCACATCACCACAGGACACAAGAAGAAAAGCTGCCCAAAGAGGGCAAGTGGGACAGGCGTAAGAGAAAGGAGAGAGGCCTGCAAGATGATGCCAATGACAATTTGTTTCTGATTAAGCAGAGGAAAAAAAAAAAAATCTAAACCGAAATCATTTCTGATTCGGCTTTCCAATAATCATGTCTTTTCATATCTACAACACTCTGGTAACATTTTTATTATCTGTTATTAACTAGAGTGGGATTTGGGGGTTTATTTTTTTAAATGTTCGCCATACTACATAAAGTTGTTTAATGAAGACCATGGAGATCTCGGTTCCCTGTATCCAGCAGGTTGTCCGGTAAGAAAACAGAAGGGTAAACTCAGACATCCCCTGTTCCAGTATGTCATTCTTACTCAAAATCTTGGGAATATAAAGAACGAATCTTTTCAAGAAAACATTTTTGGAAAGAGTTTGAAAAAAAATAATAAAAGCTCATCTAATGAAATGCATCTGCAGTATGGCTGTGAAAATTAAACCCTTGAGGGAAGAGAACACAGTACAAAAATGCATCAATCCTTTGTAGTATTACTTTTCTTTTCTTTTTTCTTTTTTATAATGTTAGAAAGGGTAATAGCATTAGTTAATCTAAATCCAGCTTTTCTTCTGAAGCAGGTGTCAGAATCTTCCTTGGGTCAAGAGTCACAGGCTGACTGTGAAAATGAAGGTGATAAATTGGAGGTCTGAGGAGTCGGGGAGTTGGGGTAAAGCGGAACCCAGGTTGGGAGTCCATCCCGTATGAAAGTCATGAAACAAATGTCCTGAAACAAGTGAAAAAGCGTCACCAAAATTTTTAACATAATCAGTAAAACTGTTTTTGCTATTTTATAGTCACACTTCAAGAAAACTGTCACTCAGATGCATAGAGATGAGTACTGCCCAGCTTCAAACAAGCAAACAACAAAACCCACTTCATTTTCATGGTTTTTTTAACTACCACAGAGCTATACAGAATTTTTTATGCTTGTGAATCTTTTGTGCACACCAAAGCTTAATGTTAGAATACAAAAAATAAAATGTCTGAAATAAGTAAATGTGTCTTTTGAAAGTGAGTTTGGATGACATGGCAAAGGATATAATTGGGTTAAAGAAGTGACTATAGTTAGAAACAGAGCACAGTGGCTTCGTATGATAAGCCCGGGATCGCAAACCACAAGGTCCGAGGTCTGTGCCTGCCAGCTGCTCCACGGGAGAAAGATGGATTTTCTGCTTCCACAAAGCCTTGGAAACGCTATACAGGGTCGCTGTGAGACAGAACTAACTCGATGGCATTTAACAACAAAAACAGTTACACAATCACCGCAAGCGAGGGTTAAAATGCCCTCGTTGCCCAAGCTCAAGCGCTCTGCCAGAATGAAGTATAATGAATCAGGTAAATAGGACAACTGTGTAATGTTGGGTTCTTACATGTGTGTTTTACTCTGAAAAGTAAACAAACTGCTGAATGTCTGATAGAATGAGCTCTCCTATCTCTCTTGGAAGGAAGAGGGAAAAATTTCAAGTGAATTGTAGGCCCATACACTCACCACTCTCCCTGTTGCTTAGCATTCAGCTACGTGTACGGTCCCATAAGCTAGAATTGTTGGTACATCAGCTAGAATTGTTATATTCTATGGTAAGCAGCCTAACTCTTTTTAACACCCTGGTAGAAGTAACAGCCATGAAACACTTGATAGAAGTTGTAAGCCCTGAAATAATTGGCATTGTTGCTGGGTAGCACCTGGGACAGTCGTGGCTTTTCGGTGATGTGGTGTAGCCTTCTCATCGGTCAGGGCAAGCATGACATTGCCATTTCATACACAAAAGATCAGGGGATGCAGAAGAGCACATGCACACCAATGCTGCATGATTCTCAAGCAGCTTGCGGTTTTGTGGTTTGTTTTTTTTTCCTATTTGTTTCTCCCCTTTTCCTTTTTACCCCAAAAACATTTTTCATTGTTGTTTTATTATTGTTAGAACTGTGTTTTATTCTGGGCTATTATTTACCCTCCAGTGTATACAGAGGGAAGTCCAGAGACCCGAGCAGCCTGTGCTCCTTTCTTCTTCATGTCCCTCAGCCTCCTGGCTCCTCCACCTAGTGTCCAAGTCAGGCCAGTCAGTTCATCAGTTTATTGACACTCTAACTCTTGCCGTGCACTATTGGGGGATCAAAAGTATAGATTCAACAATTGATCAAGTAAGACTTTATTTTATTTTTTAAGGTTTTTATTGTGGATTGAGTGAGAAGTTTACAGGGCAGATCATCAGTTTTGCATTCAACAAATCATACACCTTGTTTCATTATAATGATTATAATCCCCTCCATATACCATCAGCTAACAGTATTTCTCTCTATTCACTTTAACTCTTTTTTTTTTTTTAACACTCAGGCATATACAATAATTTATACCACCAAAGGGCACATCTGCAAGTCTGCCTCCTGGCCACCACTTCCCATAAATCTAGAGTCCTTAGCTGCTCCCTCTCTCCATGTCTTCATCTCTGCCTCCATCTCTGGTATCGCTGCTTCTCTGGATAAGGTCTTGCATTCCACTTGTGCTCTTCTCCCTTGATGGTCCTAGGGTCAAGTAAGACTTTAAGGAGATACATATGATTGAGAAAAGTATTCTTGTCTAAAACCATCCTAATGTGTATAGTGGCTGAGCTAGGAAGACTGTACATCTTTGTCTCTGGCTTCCCTTGAACTAGAGCAGCCCAGTGGCTCTTTTCCTGGCTTCTGCTGCTTCTGCTGCCCTTCCTAGGCTAGAGTGCAGAGAAGCAGCCCTCCTGGTCTCCTGAGCTTCCTCAGGGACCATGGGATTCACGGTACCTATTAGCTCTCTTTTTTAAATGTTACTTTAGTAGTACATACTCATTTTAGGAGAGTAAGGTTCAAAGAACCACATAAAAATCATACGGAATTCTACTACCCAAAGATGCAGTTAAAAATTCTTAGTGTCTAGTCTCCCAATCTTTTGTCTGTGTTGTTGTTTAGTGCTATGGAATCGGTTCCGACTCATAGCAACCCTTTATAGGGTTTCTGAGGTTGTAAATCTTTATGGGAGCAGAAAGCCTCATCTTTCTCCCGTGGAACAGCTGGTAGTTTCGAACTGCTGACTGTGAGATTAGCAGCCCAATTCGTAACCACTATGCTACCAGAGGTCCTTCTTTTGTCTATACAGATATACATATATATAAACATATTTTGGAGTCTTGGTGTGGTGCTGCAGGATAATGCACTGGACCGCAAGGTCAATGGTTCAGATCCACCAGTCTCTCCTCAGAAACCCTAGACAGGGTTGCTATGAGTCGGAACAAACTAACAACAACAAACATTTTCACCTTCTGTTTTATAACCTGTTTTTTCACTTACTACAGTGACTCGGTATATTCCATTTTCTTTTGATGCTTTCTGCATCATTCAATATTTTGCCCATTGTTGTCGTTAAATGCTGTAGAGTCAATTCTGACTCCTAGTAGCAGGGTGCAAGATCAACATACAAAACTCGGTTTATTTCTTTTACAATAATAAAGAAAACGCTCATAAGATCAGGAAAACAAAAGACCTATACAAGAGAACAAAAAAAAAAATACTACTGCAAGAAACGTACAAAAATGGAAGGAAGGATATACCATGCTCAGTAGTGTAGCGGTTACAAATCGGGCTGCGAGCCACAACGTCGACAGTTCAAAACTACCAGGTGTTCTACGGGAGAAAGATGAGGCTTTCTGCTCCCGTAAAGATTTATAACCTCGGAAACTCTGGGCAGGGTTGCTATGAGTCGGAACTGACTCCACGGCACATAACCACCTCCACCACCATGCTCATGATGAGGAAGACAACATTGTGACAATGTCAGCACTACCCAAAGCCATCTGTAGTGCAATCCCAATTCAGATTTCAACATCATTTTTAAAGATATGGGAAAAATAACCACTAACTTTATATGGAAAGGAAAGATACCTAAGACAAGCAAACCATTACCAAAAAAAGAACAAAGTAGTAGCCCTCTCATGTCCGATCTCAAAACCTACTATACAATCACAATAGTTAAAACAGCCTGGTGTTGATTTACTAAATGTAAAACTGACGATCTATTCTGTAAACCTTAATTCATAATAAAAAGTTCAAAACACAAAACAAAGCAAAAATCAGTCTGGTACTGGTAAAATGAAAGGCACATATGTCAATAGAACAGAATTGAGAACCCGGAAGTAAATCCATCCTCAGTTGATGTATGACAAAGGGCCAAAATGCATTAAATGGAGATGAGATTGTCTCTTCAAAAAATAGTGCTGGGAAAACTGGAAATCCATTAGCAGAGGAATTAAACATATCTCACACCATACACAAAAATGAACTCATCGTAGATTAAAGACTTAAATGTAAAACCTAGAACTATAAATGCCATCAGAGAAAAAATAAGGACAAATTCAGAGCTCTCATACATGGCATAAATGCACTCTGAACCATAACTGAAAATACACAAACAGCAGAAGGCAAAATAGATGACTGGGACCTCCTTAACATTAGACCTTTATGCACGTCAAAAGATTTCACCAATGTTTGATGATGTATGGAGGGGACTGTGATCATTCAATGAAACAAAATACAATAGGATGAATGTAAAACTGATGTTCTCCCATGTAAATCCACATAATTCACAATGTTATTGTTGTGAAGTGCCATCAAGTAGGTTCCGACCCATAGCGACCCTGTATAGGGTTTCCAAGGAGAAGCTGGTGAGCTTGAACCACTGACCTTGCAGTTCAAACGCCTTTGCAGTCTGGCGCATTAATCCACAGCGCCACATAAAAACTTATAAAAAAAATAAAAATAAAAAAAAGATTTCACCCAAAGAGTAAAAAGAGAACCTACAGACCTGGGGGAAATATTTGGTGGTGACATTTCAGATAAGGGACTACGGTCTAAAATTTATAGAATACTTCAACAATCCAATTTAAAAATGGACAGGGGACATGAACAGACCAAAGACATTCAGGTAGCCAACAAGCATATGAAGAAATGCTCATAATCATTAGCAATTAGAAAGCTGCAAATCAAATCAGCAATAAGATACTATCTTATGCCAGCATTAATAGCAAAGTCCAAAAACCAGAAAAG